CTGAGAGGTTCATGCCTGTGGACTCATACGCCCACTCGAGTCCTGCTTCCAGCTGCTTTTTGGGATGAAAACAGAGTGGTAGTAATCAATCAGGCTTGTTTCTCTCAGGTCTCTAAAAAGTGCAGGGCTACTTGTTTAGCCTGTACAAAATAATTCACTATGAGCTGATAGGAGAGAAGCAGCTCCACCAGAAGACAAGTCAAGGAATGAACAATGTGGTGGTTAGCGGAGCCTCATTAGCACTTACTAGTTTTGCTGATCCCAGCCGATCATACTGCAAATATTACAAAAAGTCATAGACACATTAGGCTCAGGAGATTGAAATGACTTTCTTTATTAGATTAAATCAAAGCAGCCGGTTACCTGGTGTAACATAACTCCAGCTTTCAGAAAAAGGATGACATGATACATGAAAATGCCTTCAAACCAAGTAGCTGCCTCCTTAAACATGCTTTTGATATCTTACCTGATTTGCTCAAAGTGTTTGTTTTCTAAGCATATCTTAGCTGCATTGACTAATACATTAAAATATAATCTTACTGGCTAAAAATTCACTTTCACCAAACTTATGCCCATGTTTAGTATCATGTCACATTGTAATCAATATGCTGCAATAGGGCAGATAGTCCATTAAGGAGATCCTTTTAGGACTGGATGTGGAACATATTGCCAGGCTATTGTGATACTGTTACAGCTGATACTGTGCTAGCTCACGAACAAAGAGGTTTATGTTCTCTGTGATTATCAGCCTGATGCTTTTCAGTGAGCAATAAAGGGAAGAGCCAAACTTCACAGTGGGAGAGGAAGCCTTTCCGCTGATTTGTGTTAGCTTTAGGCAGCTTCTACATTCTTTTAACAAAACAAATTTTAAAAGCTGTAACCATAAACAGGCAGTGTTAATCTCCAGAATATGAACGTATGATTTTATGACTGAGTGCTTTGTTGATTGCTCTTTCCATCACAAAATGGAAGCACAGTCATGTACAGGCATATTATACTATCTTGAACTCTCTCAATAAGGGCTGTACAGCACAGAATGTTTAATTGTCAGCTGTTAATGCCACACCACATACACACACTCATGTAGTGTAAAAGAAATTGCCTGGATTAGAAAGGTGTAAGACAGAAGTTCCAATTTCCTCAGCGGTACTCTACAGATTTGCACATGCACTGGAATGTGCTTCCTTTGGGTTCCAGTTACTGTGTATTGTAAATGGTCTTCAAAGAAGGAAAGTTACTGCTTTATCTAAAATGGCCCCAAGAAACCTTTAGCTGTGTCAAAAATCTGCTATATCTAGTAATGATGACTCACAGGAACAATTTTATTCTTTGAGAGTCCTCCCTTGGTTGGTTAGCAATTAAACATTCTCATTTAGCACTAAATGAAATCTGTAAAGCCTCAATCATACTCGAAATAAGCAAAGTAATCCTTAGAAAGCAATGCATTTTGAAAGCAGTTTTGATCATCAGCATGATTTGCTGTTCAAAGGAACCCATTTATGCAAAGAAATGAAAATAATGTAACAGCTTCATTCAACAGTTCTGCGATAGTAGTTAACATTTTCTTGACTTAAAAATAATTTTGTGTTTTTTTTCTGTTTGCTCCAGCAACTGTTTTTCTGGAGTTTTGGAAAAGAAGGCGAGCAGTAATTGCTTATGACTGGGACTTGATAGACTGGGAAGAAGAAGAGGTTTGTATAAAAAAAAAATGTACTCCTTGATCTTTAACACAAAAAGATTTATTTAAAAATGTAAGCATGTTTTTCTTTTGGATTTATTTTCAATTCATTCTTCAAATCTTCTTAAACTAGAAAATAAGCATTTTTCTCCTCAGAAGTTTCCTCTGGAATGTGAAGAAACTTTCCCCAGGCCAAACTGTCCTCTCTTTTTACACCTTTGTAAATCTAAATTAATTTCAACATATCATTGGCTGTCATTGTGGGAGATTTCAGGAAAAAAATGCACTTTGGGCGAAGCTAACAAATTTTGCTTTTGAATCCAAGGAAATTCTTGACAGCCCAGAGTACCATGGATTTTGGCAAATGGGCTTTTAGCTATTCTTTCAGATAGCTGCTAAGAATACTGATGGAGAGAAAGCCTTGTGAGGCTTGTGCCAGCTTCTGAATGTTCAGGTGCTGGTTACCTAAGTATACAGTGCTGTGGAGAGACTGAGGGAGATGAACCAACTCTGTCAGTAGAGGAAATCTCCTTAGGAAGGAAACTCAACAATGAAAAGTAGCCTTAACCTTGTTCTGTGATGGTTACCAGAAAGAACTAGCATGCTCTTTGGACTGAGAGCTGAGGTCTAAATGGAGCTAGAAGGTTTTATTATGCAGGAGAAAAGCAAGATTCAGTGGGCGTGGTAGAAAAAGTGCTCCTCAGGTGGGATTTAGACGTACAGGTATCCACAGAGTCTACTCTCCTCCTTCTCTAGAGACTGTCCTGAAGCTCTTGGAGGGACTGTAAGAGGCTGCTGTAGTGGTCTCAATGCAGTTGAACTTCTATATTGCTGCCTCTGTGGAAGAATTCCCTTTTCATTAATCTTGCCAGCAGAGAAACAGACTTCTGAGTTATGGGATTTTTGTCTGTATGAAGCAATGTAGCTCAATGAGGCCATGAAACAGTACAATTGCTCATTTGCTGGTAGCTTTTTTTTTTTTAATGCTTAATGACTAAGAAAATAATCCAAGAACATAAAATGAGATAACTTACACAACTGGAAATTGGTTTCTTTATAGCAACGGGAACATCATTATTTGTGCACATATGCTGTCAAGTCTTGGTGATACTTCAGGACTTTTTTCATATGTTTAGAAAATACTCTAATACTGATTTAAGTCTCCTGAGTTTATTAGCCCGCTCTTCTTTTCTCTTCCCAATGCTGACGAGTCGCAGAGAGAGGCCACACTGAGATAGTCCTGCCTGAGGTTCAGATATTGATCAGGATTGAACTGCAGTGATCTTGTACACTCATGGCTAGTTGCAAAAAAGCCACTGCTGCTGATGCTGACAGCTAAGGCAGAAGACGGATGTACCAAAATGCGATTTCCAAGTCAGGATTACAGCTCAGTGTCCGTAGAATGAAAAGGAGCCTTTAATCTAACAAAATACACAAGCAAATACAGTGTGAGGCCCTTTTTATATTTTTCCCAGTAGGTCTTGTCTTGCAGATGCTTATAGTTTGGGATGTAATATATCTGCACCTTTTACCATTTAACCTTCCTGGATTTGGGATTTATGCTGATTTATAAAGCCATCCACCTGAATTTTTTATGATCGGTTAACTTACAAATATTGAATTTCCTGGTAAAGTTGTCCTTAAGCGATGTTTTGCTTTTCCTTTTTTTTTCTTCCATGGAATAATACTAAGTGATTTCTGGCTGCTGTGGTAATGCTTGGAAGAGCCTTTTGCTCAGGTGTGAGCACAACAGCTCCAAGCCCATTCAGAACAAATCACCATTGTGTTTCTCTTTCATCTTCGTGTGCATACCCACAACTCTGCTTGCAACATTGCTGCTACTATTGAAAGTGCATATCCTCTTGCAGAGCATGGAGGAAAGCTTCCCATGGAAGATTTGCTCTCTGCTTTCTAACCTTTTTTGGAAGAGCATTACCGTGTCTATGCAACTAAGCCCTTATCTGGAATAAACACTGAAAAGACAGAAGAGAGCAGAGTTGCTAGATTTTTCCTCTTCCAGTTAGAAAGCCTGTAAGAGCTTCTGGTGGTTGAAACTATCCTCATAGAAATGTGATGTGTTTATTTTATGATGTCTATCAAATAACATTGTTTTTTATTAGAGATGCTTATGTCCCACTGGCAGATTATTTCAGTTTGGCCTGCAGAAACATATGCATGTCTAATTTTCAGAGGATACCTGCTCCCTGCTGATGGTCAGCTGGTCTTTTATTCTCACACCAGGCTTTTTCCAATATGCTCTGTCAACAAGACCTTAGTCAGATGCCCTGGGGCAGTGGCAAGTGTACCTGCTCCAAAGCTGTTCATTGCACCTTCTCCCAGTTCTAGAGGGAGTTTTATATGTCTCTACAGCAGGAGGTGGCAGCCTTTTCATAAACAGTGTGCCAGATGGTACCTTTCTCACTCAAATTAGAGGTTAAAGATGCCAACAGGAACTCAATTGGCTGCTTCCCAAAGATTTATGGGACCAGTCATCAGAGCATCAGTATCTCATTGGCATTTGAGGCATTGGTTCCTCCTTTGTTCAGCTTTCAGTGGGATCCCAATGGTGGGAGCTGATTGCCCCCCAGAGGCATCTTCTCTGAAGATGCTACAGCTGCCAGTGCCCATACCTACTGGACAACTCAAACAGGTCTTTGCTTTAAGGTCAGCTCTACGGATCACTGCCTCATCTTCCTGAGTATCGAATGCTGCACTTTTTCATTGGCACTGAGGTCTTTGCAGGACTTTGCCCCTGAGACAGTCAAAACTTTGAAAGCAAGTGTCCCAGGTGAAAAAGTGTTGAGATCATTTCCCTGTTCTGTAGCTCGAAGTCCACACCTTCACTTTGCCATTGCCTTCAGCTGCAAGCAGGACGACCTGCAAACCACAAGCTTTGCACGGAGACTTAATTCTGGGAGTGCTATCATTGTGATAGCAATGTCCCAGTGATCAAGGTTCAGATTTTCAATCTTTTACAAATCCCTTTTCTACATCTGGGCTGTAGAGGACAATATATCCTTGGACTAGGAAGGACAGGACTTCTGCAAAAATTCACCTGTTGAAGGATTCACAAACCTCCTGGAAGAAAATGATATATTTCACAAAGAAATTTAGAGTAGCTCCTCTAGTGCAGAAAGATCTGGCCTAATGCAGTGGACATTAATCCATATTTGATACTCCAGAAATCAGTATGGTTTCTACTCTGCATAAAGAATTAGAATGATCCATGTTTGAGAAGTGGGAAGGAAGGAGTATGGTCTGTTTTATGTAGATTAAAAAATACACATCCTGTGGAGTTTGATCACAGAAGTTGTACATGTCAGTGAGATGTCAGTGAGAATTTTGTCTCCATAAGGTGAAAATTTCACTCCTAGAAATGCTGCTTTCTAATAAAATCACTGCTAATTAGCTTTCCTCTCCACATTCTATTCAGTTATCACTGGACAAAATCAGTCAAGTTCTTTTGTTAGCGATTTCAAAGAAATCAATTAAAGAGTTCTAATTACCACTTTAAGCCACAAGCTTTTGTTAATGAAGATTGTTATTTTTCTTAACATTATCTGCCATGTCTAGCTTTTGCTTGCTTTAATTTCCATTGTCAAATTGAAAAATAAGGTTTTGCTACAGAGGGAAATTTATTAATTCCTACCAACAATAGATTGAAAAAAAGAAACAGTTATAAGACTTCCTATCACTTTGCTATCACTTTTCTATTCTAAATGAAGAGACAAAGAAATGAAACAATGAGGATGATGGGAAGGAGAATTCAATCTGTTCAGATATGCAGCCTTGTGAATTCCTCATCGCTTTAGCTTTTCACCCAAGGAAGGCATGCCACTGCCCCTGCAGCGTCCAGGTCCCCCAGGCTGGGGACATGGGCTGAATGTGTTCTTGCTCTTTCAACCCTGCATATCTGGATTTCCTTTTCTTATAAATGAGGTGCAAGGTGGGCAACGTGGAGAGTACGTGGGTCTTGGCTGGGTGTGCAACAAGAAACCAAATGCTCAAAGTTCCTGGCACTCCCAGCTGAAATATGGCTTCTGTTGCTATTTACAGCATACTTTTTTCTTTCTCTTCAGTGTCACTCTCTTTATGTCATTAACCTCAGCCAGATACAGTACTGTTCACGTCCTGCCCCCAAGCTGTGCTCAGCATTGCTGAGTGTCATTAAACAGGCACAAAGGTTCATGCCAGAGTTTCATTTTTGTGTGGAGATGTATCTGTGAAAATAGCATTTGCATTATCTGAATTGGCTGGAGATTGTAGGAGATACCTAGATTCACTGGTGGATGGATATGGCAAGGACTTGCCTATAGTGCAGATTGTAATCAAACCTTGTCTTAGAGAGAGCTGCAGAGAAGAAAGGATTTCTTGTATATGACTCAGCTGGCAGAGGCCTTGCACGATCTACAGGGTACAATTCTCAAGTGCCCTGCTTCAGTGCCATCACACTGTCCTTCTGCGTGTCCCTGGCACACAGGAATACTATTTGCATTGTTTCTTTTGCTAGATTATGGTCTCCTCAGCAGCCTTCAGCCCTGATGTGTCAGGAACAGCTTGAACAAGGTAGAATAAGAGCTAGGTGTTATCCTACCTCCACAGAAACATGCTTAGCCTTTGTATATAGCTAATGTAGGGCTGGTTCCCTCAAGCACATACTTAGTTACACAGGCATTGCAGCTGAGCATACATGCCTCTTAACATCTTAATTTTTTAATACCATGTTACCAGGTTGCTGCTTGAATTTGAAAATTAACTGTATTGAGAAAGTGCCTTCAAAATTTGAAAGAATGAGACATGATTCTTTTTTTTTTTCAAAGATGTAATTCACAATAACAGTGATCTGATAAATGATCTGAAGTTTCCTACAGAACTTTCCTACCTGTGCTGTACATGAACATTGTCTGTCTGTTCTTTAGGAGGAAATACGTCCGCAGTTTGAAGCCAAGTACTCCAAGAAAGAACGAATGAACCCCATATCCGGGAAGCCAGAGCCTTATCAAGCATTTGCAGACAAATGCAGCAGGCTCATTGTTTCTGCATCTGGAATATTTTTTATGGTTTGAGAACTTTTATTTATTTACCAGTTGAAAAAGTACAAAATAACATTATGTCTGCTGAGGGAGTATGGAGATACTGGATATGACTGCTTGAAAGTGAAATAAGCTCTAGCATGTTTACTGAAGGATGAAAATCCGTATACAGTTAATCGCCTGAGTATCTGTAAAGTCCTACAGTAGTTTACTCTTCACCGAGTCTCACAGTTGGTTAAGTCTTTCTTTCAACATCCAGATTCGGGAGTACTATTAAGGCTATATGCATAAGGCTATATGTAGCTATACACATGCCGGAAAAGTGATGCTATCACATTTAGGCACCAACTTCAGCTGACTGAATTAACTCACTGATTTCTTTGCCTCCCTGTGTAGGCAGTGCAGAGTGATAGGGAGAGATGCCATGGAAGAGGCAGTTGTTCTCTGTAGACTCTACAGGGAACTTAACTAAGGTGCCCAGAGTGCTTAATGATGTTAATATCTCCTAGTTTTTTAGTATATTGCAGAGATAAGGAAAGAGGGTTCATATTCCTAGTGCAATTGAAATGGAGAAACCAATGTTCCTTGTCTAAATTGAGGCATCTCTCCCTCTTTCAAGGTGCAAAACTAAATGCAGCAGCAAAATCTCTCCTACCAGAGAGCTGCATGCACTTCTGCTGAAATGCTCCAATCCACTAACTTAACTGAATCTGCTATTTGCTGTTATATGACAACAGCAGTGGTAGGGTTGGTCTTGAAGACACAGTTTGCATCAACTCAGACCCTCATGGAATTTACTAGGGCTTTTCCAAGACGGTAGAAGATGATATGTGGGTATAACTTCAGGAGCTGTAGAGAGCCAGGTAGGTGAGCTAGCCCAGCAACTTTGTGTTTAAATGAGATGGGAGGGAACACAGCAGAGGGCTTGTAAGAAACTGATGGCTTCAAAATTGTCCAAAGCAGTCTTGGGCAAGAAAGGCAAGAAAATTATTGAGATGAATTGTGCGCTGGTACGTCAGGTGGATGGACAAAGACAACATGGAGAAACACTGGGCACGAGGAGCCAACATGCTGTTTGACTTAGCCCTTGAAGACACCTATATCTGCTCAGGACTGCAGTCTCTGCTCAGAATTGGTTCTACACTTGCAACATCTTGCATATTTTCCCTATGTTTTTTTCTTGAAGGGGGACAGTTGTCACTCCCTACCCTTTGCAAAGGCAGTAATTAATCTTCTTAGCCTAGTGACAGATCTTGCTCAAAGTGCCAGAGAGTAGCCTTGCTTGGAATTGCATGCACCACAAATGGTCCCCATAACAGTCCTTGAAACAGGACAACGATTATTTTCACTGAAGGTATTTTTTATTGCTGCATAGCATAGGCTTCCAATGAGTTAGAAAAACTCTGAATTTTCCCCCATTTACAAAAAAATATTCCTTAAAAATTACAGCTTTAAGCAAAGGAGATACATACTTACCAAAATTTCAGGTTAGAGCAGTTTTCAAAATTCCACAGCATTGTGTAGTTACCAATACAGCTTGAACCAGGTCAGTGGTTCCCTGTTGAGAAAGGAAAGTGGTCCTTCTTCTCCTCAACACTATGCAGGGAATCCGGAGACAATACTTCACATTCATACACACTTTTTTTTCCTTCTGCACTGGGATTATGTCAATCAATTTGGTAACTAATGAAATACGAAACCAGCTTGGTTAGCATTCAGTGTTTTCAAAATCATTTTGCCCATTCAATTAGCTTAGATATAGTTCAGTTTTGATAGGTTTACGCTGACTATGCATAACCTTGAAATACACCCATCTTTTGCAAATAATCATCTGTCTTCTACTGACAGAAGTAGACAACTAATCCTCCTTATCTAATAAGTTATCTAACAGGTACTGTGTCAGAGTTTCTATGAGATGAGTCAACCATGCTAATTCCCAACTGTTTGTCCTTTAGGTGGCTTGCTAAACTGTGGCATAAATTGGTCACAATGGAAAACAGTTGTCATTTAGTGCTCAACTGTTGTATGTGGGACATCAAGTGATTTAGCAGCCTGGCTCAGCTGCAGGGCTTTCATGTTATAACTGTCACGTTTGCTGAAAGCCTCATCAGAGAAGAAATTACAAGGGCAATTGAATTTGTTACCTTCCCTAGGTAGAATCGTTCCAGACCTGTAGCAAGAAACAGCTTGCCAGGGTAGCTTGCCAGGGTTCTTGCTGAAGCAGTGCTTACAAATGGAGACATTTTTTTCTGTAAGTGTGAAGTCCACCAAAGCACAAAATCCATGCCAAATATGACACCATCAAGCTGGGACGTCAGCTTGAGACTAGCCTTTGCACATTGGGGAACATACATGTACGGAAATTTTCTAGTTCCTGGAGCTCGCAACACTGTTTCCCGCATTAACGCTAAGGAAGAGGTATATTTTGAAGAAAATATTTAAAACTAAAAATTATTTTAACATGATTTCAAAGATATTTTGCATTATGGAAAATAAAAAGGACTTCACAATAAGAAGAATATTCGTGTTGAAACCTTTATCTGGAATTAAAATGGATGCATTTTTCAAGTATCTAATTGTTTTAGTTTCCACAGTTTCAGGGAGGAGTTAACTCCTGTTCTATTGAAAGTTTTCAGGTTCTTCTCTCTGATTTTTTTCTTCCTTTAGATCTGTGTGGTGATTGCTGCTGTTTTTGGCATTGTTATTTACCGTGTTGTGACTGTCAGCACTTTTGCTGCCTTTAAGTGGGCTTTAATCAGGAATAACTCTCAGGTTGCAACTACAGGGACTGCAGTGTGCATCAACTTTTGCATCATCATGCTACTGAATGTGGTGAGTAAAACTAACTTATCCAAAGTTATCTGCGAGCCATCAGATCAGTAGACAGCCTGCAGACCACCAAATGCTTTCGGTTCCTTTTTCAGCACGAATGGAGTGTCTTGCTAAGACAGACATGACGTTATTGTTTATAGGCATAATTCACTATTTATGTAAAGTATAATTCCAAACCTAAAACGTTATGTAATGCGTGCTTGAATGTTCTAAAAAATATTTTAAGGAGACATGCCCATACTCCTGTTTATCCTCTGCCTCTTTTTTTCCTTTTATATGTTTGCAGGTTTCAGCCCACTTCATTAATATTCTGCTTTTTAGTTAGTGTTTTGATGTTATTTTTTAAATACGGTTGCCAGCCTTAATTCTTATTTATACTAGTGTCAGTAATTCCAGCTTCAGTTTTCACAGTATTTTACCAGTAAGGATATGCATATACAGACACCATGTCCATATGCAGAACTCCCTTGGGCTGAAAACTTTATTAGACTTGAGCAGACATGACTTGTTCCATGAGCTGCCTCTGGCCTTTGCCAGGGTGCACCAGAGACATGCTTAGGGTGCATTGTAGAGATCTGACTGGCTGAGGTCAGGTTATCTTTGTGAATTGGTTTGGAACCAGACTTGGGATATAGACAAAAATGGAATTTCTATGTGGTAACAGTCCTAGTTAGACAGTATAGCATAGATTAGCTGGGGAATGAGTTTCGTCCTTCCATCAAGATGCAAGTACTTCTGTATATTGCTGTGATAGCAATGTGTCATCTATTAGTTGCTTTTGGCAAGAGGTATATGGCCTTTTGCTATAAGGTTTGTGTCAACTGACGTTATAAGAATGCATTTTAAGGTGGAGGAGGGATCAACCTACAAACCATCCAGGTACTGAAGCCAGAGTATCTCTACCCACTCAGCAGCAAGTGTCTTCTGCAAAAAGCATGTTAGGCTTTGCTCCAGGAGGTATGCTGACTTACTTCCTTGGGGAAGTAGGAGATGTTATTTCAGGCCTGCACATTTCCAAGTGCTAGCTTGAAGACTACTTTCTTTCCTGTGCAATACCCAAGCATTTCCATCATCTAACGATTGATTTTAACAGCCCCTCATTGATATAGCAGGAAATTACAAGAGGCTTTGCTGCAGGACTTCACTTCTCCCTTTGGCCTAGGCAAGACTGGATTGGTGATTAGGACAGTCTATCAAGAACTGTGGACTTTCCTATTTTTTTCCTAAGGTGGGACTATAGGCTGAGAAAGGACAGAAAGAAGAAAGCTGTTATTCTCCCTGACTTTGTAGCAAGGGCTCTCTTCTTTTATGTTATTTTTGGTTTATTGTTTGTTGTCTGCAGCTTTTGGGGGTTTTCTTTAATCCACCTAGAGCACACAATAAGCATAGAAGAAATAAAAAGAAAACTATATATAGCTATGTCAGTACAACATCCATTTCCAAGCTCTCAGTATAAGTCATTGTATATGCAGTGAAGCAGCAACAAAGAAATACTGCACAAACAAAATTATTTGGTTCTCAAAGAGTTTTACAGCTTAGAGAAATTTTTAAAATAATGTTAGATGGCTTGAAGGTGCCTTTTGAGAAACTTTGTTTTGTTTCCTAAAATACATCAAATAGAGCACTGCAAAGATGGATTTCTTAAGCCTTATACTCATTACCATGAAATAAACACCACAGCCTTAGATGTGGATATAGCTCATGGAAACAAAAGATCTCCAAAATATGAAACCGCATGAGCTTTTCAAAAGAAGGACTTAAGAACATAATCCCTCACTTCCCATGATGGATTAATGTAGTTTACTGAAGGACAGTAATGGGATTTCTTTTGAAAAAAAAAAAACAAAAAAAAACCAAAAAAAACCCAACCACAAAACAAACATTTCCTCAGGAGCAGTTCAGGTAGTTGAATCCTCTACAAACCGTGACTCAGGAAAAGTAGCCAGAGAGCAAGCAAAGCTACAGTAATAAACCAGAATGCACCAAGATGTTTATAACAGTAGGGAATTCACTGCTAGGAAGCCTGGAAAACCACCAGTGATTCTGATATGAGGTGACAACCTCTCTAAGCATCAGGGGAAAGGTCTAGACTAAAGTAACTTCTAGACTGGATGCTCTGAGAGCAATGTACATACACCGACGCATCCATCATGACAAAATGAGATGACCTTCAGGCATAATGTCCCCCAGATAATCCTGCAGCCTGGGAACAATCATTAGCTTTACCTAGGTTAATAAAACCTGTTAATTCCGGTGATATCACCCACAGAAAATATGAGCACAGAACAACTTATGATGCTAAACAAGGCCCCTTGGGACTAGTAGTGATAAGCTGCAGTAGCAGATAATTAGATCCAAATATTGTTAACAGAATCTCTAACACAGTCTTACTGTTCCAGGAGGAATAGCAACAAAATACAGTTTTGATACACCCTTCTTCAGAGCAATGTATATTTATAAGATAGCACACTCCCCACTGGGATCAGGATATAAACCACCCAGACATTTCACACTTTTACAGTTGCCCTTAAGAGATGCTTTTAAACCTAGAAGAAAACACCTTTTTCATTACTTGAAACAAAACTGTTTACTCCAACAACAGCAAAAAGCTATTCTAAGCTAGAAGTGGTTGCTAACACAGATGAGATAATTCAGGATGACTTCAGTTCTTAAGCAGGCAGTTTGATCTGTAAATTGTACCTAACTCAGTTGAAGCGAGAATTTATAAGGATAACTGCAAATGAAAAGAAACATTGCTGATACACACTTTAGGAATAAGTAAGTACTTGAGCCTGAAATATGAGGAGCTTTGTATCCCTGTAGGCATCAGTGAGAGTTAAGGACATTTAGTGTTTTGTAGGAAGAAGCTCCAGACTCATTTAAAGCAAATGGAAATCATTGTATTAAGTTACACTAATACTGATGTTGGTGGTGATATACTTTATAGGTTGAAAAACCATTTGCAAATACTAATTGTGAAAACCCTCCAAGTTAGTTTATGTAAGCTTTATGAAGTTAGCAGTCTGAGAGCATGGTATCTGTTGAGCACAGAAAGTACCACTTAGGATTTAGAATGTCACTGGCTCAGAGTAAGAAATGTGTCTGATGGTGGGGATTACTAAAGACTTTCTCTGAAGCAACCCTGTGTCCCCAGTGCCTTTCAGCACCAAAAAAATCCCAAACAAAACTAAAAAGCCCAGAATACCCAACATACCAAGCGTGCACTTACTAGGGTGATTTTTTTTTGTGAGATAAATGTTCCATAAGTAACTAAAAAAAATTTCGATTGAACTATTGTTCTGCTTTGTGTTTTTGGAAAAGTTATCTGACCCTTTTTCACTGTATATTTAAAACAGGGAAAGTGATGGCATTTTGTGCCCTTGTCGCCAAGAAGGCCAATAGTATCCTGGGGCACACTAAAAATAGCGTGGCCAGCAGGTCGAGGGAGGTCATCCTCCCCCTCTGCTCTGCCATGGTGAGGCCACATCTGTAGTACTGTGTCCAGTTCTGGGCTCCCCAGTTCAAGAAAGACAGGGAACTACTGGAGAGAGTCCAGCAGAGGCTACAAAGATGATCAAGGGAATCGAGCAGCTCTCTTATGAGGAAAGGCTGAGAGATCCGGGTCTGTTTAGCCTGGACAAGAGAAGACTGAGAGGGGATCTCATCAATGCTTATAAATATCTAAAGGGCAGGTGTCAAGAGGATGGGGCCAGACTCTTTTCACTGGTGCCCAGCGACATGCCCAGAGACAGGCCAAGGGGCAATGGACATGAACTGGAACACAGGAAATTTCATCTCAACATGAGTAAAAACTTCTTTACTTTGAGGGTGACAAAGCACTGGCACAGGCTGCCCAGAGAGGTGGTGGAGTCTCCTTCTCTGGAGATATTCAAAGCCCACCTGGATGCGTTCCTGTCCAACCTACTCAAAGTGAACCTGCTCTGGCAGCGGGGTTGGACTAGATGATCTCTGAAGGTGCCTTCCAACCACTACCATTCTGTGATTCTGTGATTTTTGTTCTCATATATTGTGGATGAAAAGGGCTGAGTATAAGCTTTAAAAATATTACCATTCCTTGCTTGATTATATCGGTATTGCATTATTACTATATAGCTTTATTGTCATCATTATCAGAACATTACAGAGACCATCTGGATGTCAGATTTAACATGTAAGAGAAGTTATTCTGCCTAGAAAGCAGTTCTATATTTTTGAGCTGGTCACATATCTAAGAGACTGTTTCTTCTCTGTTACAGCTGTATGAAAAAGTTGCTCTTTTCCTGACAAATTTAGGTAAGCAATGTTGACTACAAAATTGAATGATATTGTACTGATTTTTTGGTCCCTATACTGTGATAGCATTCAAACTGTCTGTATAAATATGAAAAATCCTGATTAATTTGCAATCTATAGGAATTAATGTTTTTCTTAAGTTTATTATAAGGGAGTATATAAACTAAGTTATAGTGCCATTCAATTAGTGGTGACAACAATCACCCACCTATGCTTGGTTCTTGTTCCAACCCCTTACCTTGTAAGAACTTCAACAAATTGTTACCCTGGGAGGAACAGCATGAGTTTTCAGAAAAACTGAGCGCTCACAACCCCCAGGTTTTTTAAGGACCTGGAAATGGGGGGAATCACTTCTGGAAGCCAAATTTATCCCTTGAAACCAAGGTGCTTATTGACTATCAAACATATGCCTTTAAGAAGGGCGTTGATTTGGAGGGAAAATGACTAGGTGACACATCAACTCTACCAACACCTAAACTCTAATGGTGTTCCAAGTTTCTGTAATCTTTTCAGCTCACCCATAAAGGTGATCTTTATGCTAGAATAAGGACAACATGTTTTCTAAGGACAGCATGTACTCTCACTGGTGTAGTAATAGGCTATCACTCATATATCCATGGTTTAGGCAGAGTCTCTGGAGATCCTGATCATGCTTGAAGATTGCAGTAGTTTGTGGCAATTGGCAAGGGTTCCTTATCGTCAAGAAGCCTGAAATGAGACCATTGCTGAAGGCCTATTAAGCAAAGCATATTTTGGCATGTGTAGAAGTGGTTTGAGGAGATTACTTTGAGTTTCTGCGTACCTGTGTACATTGATAATGTTCAGTAAGGTATTTTGGACTGGGTGGAGAGATTTTGGTGTCTGCTCAGAGGCCGCACACAGCTGATTTTACCTAGTGTCAGGGCTTTTCTACATCTGGGAAGTCATAGGTGATGTGTTCAAAGCACTTCTGTGTAAGATAGCGTTTTATTCTGTTATTTTTTATTAGATTAAGAGTCCTCATTTGTATGTTGTAAATTTATAGTATTTTTGCCGTCCTGTATCAATGGAAAAGATACCTGCTAGTTACAGTTGAGAAATATGGCTTTCAAGTATGTGATTTACACAGGCTATGCCCTTTTACTCCTTGTGACACCCTGGGGGCAGTATGATATGGTCTAGAGACCTTGAAACTTGATGACTTTTTGCCAGGTTATCATCAAGGTAGGTTTGCTTCTTGTAGCCTGTACAGAAAGCACTTGTATGAAAACTCAGTGGGTCAATCTGTTCCGACAGTGTTCAGACTGTTTTGTGACTTTTACTCTGATGGCCTAAGTAGCTGATTTGGTTTGAACGATCTTTATCGGTGTAATAAGCTGAGAGTGGCATTGGCAGCAAAGCTACATTCAGATTGTCCTTCTTCAGCCTTTACATGACCTTTTCCAGAGCTCATGTACGTGATTTTTCAGAGCATTGCCATTTTCTCTGATGGGCATATGAGCAAAGCTGCAACTGCAGCAGCCTTGTTAAAGTGAAACTTGTCCTTCCCACAGATTGATGTCAAAAATCCACGATGCTTTATTTCTTTCTGCTTAGCTAAATATGTATATACTGGCATACACACGAACTTACATTTCTTGACAGGCATTTCCAAATCACTAGCACGGTTAGTTTATGGTCTGGTTTATCATTTTGTTGATGCATCTATTTGAAATTTCCTCATGGCTAGGGTGGCTCTAATTAAAGAGAGTCTAGTTTATCATTGTTTCTGTACTTCCAGTACATCAGTCTGGAAGTAGTATGAGTACGACCATTATGATACTCAGAGTCACCATTAGTACCTCCACTTCTCCTCTGATTACTGCTGTTCACAGCAATGGTTGACTAATAAGCTCCTGCCAACTGAAAAGTAGTTCCAGGACATGGTACTTGTGTATTGGCATAGAAGTTGTTTTGTTAACATCTGTCTTGGTATCTCTTTAGGTGGAGATTAAGGGCCTACCTGAATTGAAGAGTATGTTTTCCCCTTCCCCATTTGCCTTACCCGATCCGTTGCAAAATATGTTTTCTCAGTCTTCGGTGATGAGCTTCCTGGGACAAGGAAAGGGAGTCATGCAGTGGCCCTCCACTGATACCTGTGTAGAGTCCTTAGATGCCAGCATGGCAGGAAAATCCATGAAACAGAATTACAAGGAGGATTTACTCCAGTTCAGTGTGACATCTCTAACTAAAAGGCTTGTAGTGGGGTGCTTCCTGGCCATGTCATTATGGTAGGTTGCAGAAAAGGAAACAAGAGAAGAGCCTGAGCCTGTAAAACACACAGTAATCCAGGAGGGATGTTTAATACACACATTAGCTCAACCACTTTCTTACAGTCTCCTGGGAATATACATATTCAGATATCAGAAGAGATTTTTAAGAGTCTTTCCAAGCTTGCTTGCTGTGTGCTGCTTTTGGATATAATTTCTTCTGTCAGCTTATATTTTGAAATCAGCAGGCAAATATACAAATACATTCCAGTTTCTGATAGGTGCCTGCAGCCTTTGTGCCAAGAGAATTGTTAATCTGATTAAACCTCTCAAACTGTGCTCTCTTTCTTCACAGAGCAGCCTCGTACTGAATCCGAGTGGGAGAACAGCTTCACTCTGAAAATGTTTCTTTTTCAGTTTGTCAATCTGAACAGCTCTACCTTTTATATAGCATTCTTCCTTGGAAGGTAGGATTGAGATCTGCACCTTTGTATGTGCAAAATGAAGTAGAGAGAAGAAATAAAATTGACTGTAATGAAACAAAATGGGACCATATTATCACACATCTCAAAATGCAAATTCCATACTAGCAACAGGACAGATTGCAGTTTTATTTTCCTTTCAAAAGCCCAGAAACAGACAAGCAGTTTTCATTTCCAAGCATCATATTGGCTCAATGCTAACTCTTAACAATTTCACTACTGGGAACTGGTGCATCCCACAATACTATACATGGAGATCACTTCACCCTGTCTTTATGTGCGTGATTTTTACAGGTAAATAAATAACACTGTGTCTTTTTCTTTCAGAATAAAATAGACTAGAGTAGAATAGCATAGAATAGTTCAGTTGGAAGGGACCGCAATGATCATCTAGTCCAACTGCCTGAATGCTTTGCTTCTTCTATTGTATGATTTGAAGAGGGAATTATGAGCTCTCAGTTGAGTTTTTTCCACAGAAAATGAAAAATATATATATTTATATGTCTCTTTCTACAAGTCCTCTAAAAGCAGAAGAGCCCTTGAGTAGAGAAGGCTTGACTAGAAGAATCCATCAGTATGGATTATTTGCATGTGGGAAGTTGTGGGAATCATTTTGGCAGAAAACATGGGAGAATAGTATGAAAATTATCTTTTCCTAATGAAAACTAACATTTTCACAGATTTCACAGAAAGGCAGATATCACAGCCCACATTATGGTGTAAAGAAATGGACTGGCATTTGAAAGCCGTTTTCCAAACTGACATAAACAGTTTTATTCAGATTTTTTCTCTTCTCTGCATATGCTGAATATCCAGCAGCAGAGTATTTGGTATTGATATAAACCTGGAAGTAAAAATATACTTAGCCCTCCATGGGAATTATTCCAGGAATCCCCCAAAAGTATTTTTTTGCTGCATAATGTCTTTTATATTTATAACAGTCACAGTAAGATGACATTAGATTGAAACAACAGTGTGAGCTTTCTTCTGCTACTGTGAACAGACTGCTTATACAACATAGTTGATGTATATTCCTGTGTTAAAGATTTACAGGACACCCTGGTGCCTACTTAAGGCTGATAAACCGGTGGAGACTGGAAGAGGTGAGTGTTCGCTAAGTACACGCTGTTTTATCTGCTGCCCACAGATGCAGTGAATGCAAGCAGGGGCAGACATATAACTCTGTCCAGGTATTTTTGAGTGTGTTATTGGGTTTTCAGTTGCTGACTCCACACTACTGACACTCTACCATCTCCTACAAAAACATCTACATATTGATATGTATGAGCTTTTCAGTGCTAGCAGTTTCAGTATTTGCATCATGTTTGGATAGTGGTGTCAAATGGTTTAAACTTTACTCACATTTTTATGTTGGAAATATTTTGTCTTTGATATGAATCAGTCAGATATGAATCTAATGACTTTTTGTTTCTAAAAAATCCTCTCCTCTCAGCCCTGCTGACCAGCGAGCTAAAGTAATAAACTCATAACTTAAAAATCCAGACACATAAAATGTATTTGAAAGTTGACCAAAACAACTGAACAAAGTTCCCAAAAGAGCTACTGGCACAATGTTCCATGTCTATAAAACCAAACATATTTGGAGAGCAATGAGGGATTGGCTTTGCAAGTGGCTCAAGGGCCAGTCCCATTTTTTTGGCAAATACATTCAGAATTCAAAAACCATTTGACAGTTATTGGAGGTGAATAGCATCAGTTTCTGGATCGCTCACGTAGCTTCCAGTGCTGCTATTTGCACACTCAAATCCCATGATTTCTTTCCTGTTTCGCAGCTGAAAAACTGAAACAGCTTTGCAAATACATGACAAATGGCAAGTAGAAAATGCGGGTCTTACATGACCAATATGAATTTACAAACACATAAAAATTTTGGTTAACAGAGGTCATCCAAACACTAGCAAAAAAAAACCCAAACAAACAAAAAACACCAAACCCAAGAATAATATAAAAAAGCCATCCTATTAAAGTAGTGAATTCTGTACATTCAGGCAAGAAAAATTGATAAATGGGCAGACAGAAATTCACTCCAAAGTCTCAGAGGGGTCGAGCTGACCTAACAGATTGCTGCTGCCAAAAGAAGACAGTTCTGCTCTTTCTTTGAGCCTTTCCCCAGAAGTTTTCTCATTCCTCTTCCTCTGCACTGGATCTGGCTTCTCCAACCCTGTGAGGAGCCTATTCAGTTCCCTGTATCAGCAGGAAATTCTTTTTTTTTCTGGCTGAATTAACTTTCTGATCAGTTACTGGGCTGAATCATTTCACAGAGGCATCAGAGAACAGGGAAAGAACCTTGGTTGCAGGAGCAGAGATGGGAAGAACAAAGAACAAGGTTTGGAAGGGAAGTGCAACAGCAAGGTGTTACAGATTGGGTCAGTGCTACTATTAATGGTCCCTACTATTTTGCCTTTCTCAGAGTTAAAAAAAAAAAAAAGTCTAATAATAAAAGAAATGTCTAATAAAAAAAGTCTCAGCTTTATTGACTATATCTGTGCTAGGTCTTAGTAGGAACATAATTTAGAATATAATGCCCAGATATCCCTCCAATAGTCCTTTCTTCGTCTCTTGAATGAAGCCATGGGTAAGACATCTAATAACATGATATAGTCTGGTCCAGTGTCTATTCAGACCACAATTTCTGTATTAGTGGTAGTAACATCGCTGCTACTTCATTAATACTGTACCTACCTGTCTCAGGCTATAATGGCTCAAGTGACTGATTCCTAAAAATGGAAGGATAATGATTTAATAATAATTCCAGAGAAGTTAATTTAAAAAAAAAAATAATAATTGTCTACCACCCTGTTAATCTAAAGAGAAGCTGAATGAGGTCAACAGAAATCTCAGCAGGGACCCAGGTTCTGAGCACTGTATAAATCAGTATGTATAAGAAATTCATATCACATTTTGTTACAGGTCATAACTATTTTTTCCTCCCTAAAAGTTAAAGAGAAATAGTTCCAGTCCCATAACAGTGATCTGTTTGACTTATCCATAATACCCAGGATTTAGCAATACAGCTTGGACTCTACTGTTTGGATCCGCCAAGCCAATTGTGCAAAATGCTCTTTAAGGACAAAAAGTTTTTTGTCCTTTTCTGTTTCTTCTAATACTAGATGAAAAATTGTGCAATTACCTACATTTGTACTAGCTGAGCATGTCTCCCAAAAGCAGCTCCACTTCTTCAAGGTCTGGAGCCACTGCTAAAGCAAACAAGCACTCAGCAAGAGACACCAGGAACTGTTGTTTGACAGAGATTTTTAGTTCTTTAAGAAGAGAATGGCTTTGCATAATTCACTTAGTCATATACATTAAATAGTACTCAATAAACAGCATTAGTTCTATCCTCTAGGCATAAACTGTTTACCTGTGCAACCAGGAGGAATTTTGTCTTCATTCTTCGACTTGATGCACAGCCAACCTCCCCAAAAACTATTAAAATCATTGGAGAAACTTGGTAGCCTTTGCCTCTCTCCCACCCGCAGTTACACAACTTATTAGAAGCTCTAATGTGAAAACTGCATCAGTTTCACCTGATTCTGACCTCTGCAAAGAATTAGATGATAGGCTTAAAAGCAGTACAGTCTCATATGCTCCCATAAGTTTATATTTGAAGGAAAAAAAAAAAAAAAAAGAAGAGAGAATGGCATTTAATTTCCTTTAAGTATCTAATATCCATTTCAAGTCTTTAAGAAATGCTTTAAAACTCAGTGTTATTTCTGTTTAACCTTTTATTTCTTTTTTTTCTGTAGTGCCACCCTAGTGGATGCCTTATTGATCTCTGTATGCAAATGGGTATTATAATGGTGCTAAAGCAGACCTGGAATAATTTCATGGAATTGGGCTACCCGTAAGTATATATATTGCCTATGCTTCCTTAAGTCACAGAAGAGTACTGAGTTCATGCTTTCCTTATGACCTGTTACATAAAAGCAAGATACAGTAGTCATTACAATAGCAAATCCCCCCTACGATACAAAACTCTTAATATAGATTTCCAGACATGTAGAAATAGATGGCGTTTGAGGGTTTTTTCACATTGGACATAGTTTGCAAAAGTGAAAATTTAATATAAATATTAACAAATAAATATTATATTTGTAGTACTTGATTTCATGAAATTGTATTCAGCGTAAAAACTCCCAGAAAATAACTGCAGGACCGCTGTATTCCTTACACAGGAAATATTATATGTATCATTTTTTAGCTATGCCAGTAAGTTCTAAATTGGATTTCTCCTTGCTGGGTGATAAAAGATGCCTGAAAGGGCAGGTATGATCTGGAAAAAATGCACTGCTGGCATATACAGTCTCAGAGATAGAAAAATGTACTGACTGGTATATGGGCAAGTTCCCTGGTGATCTTCAGGGTGTTATGGAGCTGTGCCGCAGCTAAAAAGGTTGATGATTGTTCATTTCCTATTGGTTCATTTCTTATTGATGAGTATTTAATGAGCATGTTTAATATGATTAATATTCGCAGTTGATGCTAGAGACAGTGTGGCAGGTCATCAAGGGAAATTAGTAAGTGTAAAAATATATGAGAGAGCTGACATTGTCAGAAAGTTTGCCCTTGCCAAGTTCAGAGGGATTTGCTTCGCTGCAGGATCCACAGCAGAGCGAGCGCAGAGTTCGGTCCCTGAACTGCAGATACGTGTCACAGCAGTGATTTCAGGCAGCCTCAGTGCTCATCACATCTAGCTGTAATGAGAGCAGAGTAAATGATTTAAATGCACCGAGGAATTGGCAATCAAGGTTCTCAAAGCTCGCTATCCCTCCGTCTTCCCGGGTTTGCGCCTGGCACTGCTCACCAGGATTTTGCAGCTGTTGGGGCTGGAGGAATTAGCCAGGGTAGGGAGGAGGGAACGACAGCAGCAGTATCGATCCTTCTCTTTTCACTCCCTGCCTCTTTTGTCAGTTTTCATTAGATCCTTCAGCTACTTATTAATAGGGATTTCAAAACCTAATAAAGAGCACAGAGGGGGATTAAAGAAGGTGACTGAAGGAGATAGGACGAGATTGTTTAAGAACAGGTGATTTAATAGGAATAAATTGCTTCAGGTGAAGTCAGTGTCTTCGTTTTAGAGTCACAACAAATATCACAACACAAAACACGCAGTCACAACAATGTGAGGTGCTTCAACTTATTCTGATGAGAGATGTATTTGCACTCCAGACCTTTCAATCCACCTTCTGGGCCTTAAATGCTGCAGGCAAGTGCATTTTCTTTTTGTGTGGAAAAAAAAATAAATAAATTATCATTTCTGCTAAGAGCATGATCGGAGCCAATACCATGTGGGTGGCCAGAGGATTTGGAGGCAATCCTGTAGTCTGTAGTAGAACATCACCTCCCATGTGCTGGCTACTGCCTGCCAAGCCGCAGACAGAGCCAGCACTGCGCACTGCCAAAGCTGATAGCAGAGAATATTTCCCTGTAAGAGAGCCCTAGAAGAGGCGCACCAGTATCCTGTTTTGGAGAGTGGTTGTTTGCACCATTTCAGGGTGGCAGCCCAGCTCTGGTGCAGGCATGTGCTCTCACAGGGACTGCAGAACATGCAGGGCAAGTCAGAAATGCCACCAGGTGTTCCTTGGTGACAGGAACCCCAGTGCCTGCTGTCACATCTCTCACTGATACGTGTGGTGTTGGCTTGTCTGCTGAAATTTCTGCCTGAGACTTAAAAACTAGGTTTCCAAGATATCAAAGAGAGGCCCCAGGGTGTGTGTTAGAACATTGCTTGTGTAGTGGTTACAGTTTTAATACCAATATTGGCATGTTGGAGTGGTGCTTCGGCTTCATAAAAACACCACCTTGAAACCTCTGAAAGTGTGCGTCTCTTCTCCTCTCCTGCTTAGATACTTTTGCAATAACTAAGAAACAAATTATAGAGTATTGCTTCATTTGGAGGTGTGAAACTGCAATTTCAAGTTGATGTTTTTCTTGGAGGAAGAACGTACTTCCATATTAAAACCACATTACATTGTATTGCTCACATTTTGCTCGCATATAAATCAGAAAAAGACACCTCTCTGAATTTTACTGAATGGAAAAATCATGGCTAAGCTTTAGGAAAATATGCAATTGGCCGGTTTTTGCTTTCTATGCTAACTATAACTTGTGTCCTTTGTTGGCCAAACCAGTGCAACTCCCTGACCCGCAGGAGCAAAGGTGTTTATTTGCGATGTAAGGACTCATTTCCCTTCTGACTCAGTGCCTCCCACGGTGCCCCTACACGTGTTTTTCTTAGGGAACAATATGTTCCCTTTGAATTCTGGTACAGCTCTCCCACTTCATGAGAAGGAGATAGCTCTTATGTCAGCCATCCGTTTCTTGGCCATCACGTCCTGTCAGTAGTCCACATATTTCTGTCTGCCCTTTGTTCCTCTGAGTGTTTGGCAGCAGGCACCATTCAAGGTTGCTTTTTCCCTTCCAGGACTGCCTGGGGGCTGTTACCCCTGTGCACTGTAGAGCTGTGTAGAGGTGCTACCTCACACACAGGGGACATTAACACTCTATTTACTGATTTCTTAATTAGAGCTCAACTGTCTCCAGACAGCATTGCATTCTGCCATATAAACAGACCCTGAAGTGATTTGCCATTCTGTGTAGGGTAAAAGAAGGCAAATAAGTAAGGAAAAGAGGTCAAAATCCATCTTCTATTTTAAACACATCTAGGCCTGAATTACAGCCCATCAGCTGTGCCTGTTTTCATACCTATTACACTGTGTCATCAGCCACGTGTATTACTAACGCTCTATTTTCCTGTGCATTGGGAAATTTATTCTGCCAGGTGTGTTGTGCATGCTTAGCCTCTTCCAGTTCTGTGATAAATAGCTAATAATATTATTTACCTTGTTTCTTTAATTTATTTGAAAACGTAGGCTGATTCAAAACTGGTGGACCAGGAGAAAACTACGACAAGAGTATGGCACACAGAGAAAAACAAGCTTCCCACAGTGGGAAAAGGACTACAATCTGCAACCTATGAATGCTTATGGACTCTTTGATGAATACCTAGAAATGAGTATGGCACTGACCTTAGTTGTCTCTCTTTCACTAGATTTTAATGTTGTTGGGTTTTGTTGTTGTGGGCCGGTGTATTCTTTTAACTCTCGCTGCATGAAGCTAAAGTGGCTGCAAGGTGGTTTTCATTCTCATAGGTCAGATGAGAAATAGAAGTGAGTTTGTAAGAACCAAATCAAACCGATGTGGCTAACCACACTGCTGCTGGTTTGCTAATCTTGCATCTATGAAACACTTCTCATTCTGGCTTTGTCTGGGGAAGGTTGTTTTCTAAACCAGAGCCCACCTCTTCACCTGTATACATTTGTGAAGAAGTTTGCTGTTATTTACTAAAGAAACTTCCCTTGGGCTTTTATTTTTAAACTATGTGTCACAGACCTGTATGCTTGTTTGTGTTTAAAATTCACCGTGATTTAGTACCTCACATTTACGAAGTAGCTTGCTGCCAAAAGGTATTGCTCTATTCAGAGGAGAGGGGAGGATAACTGCTCAAAGAAATATTAAAGAACAAGAAGTTTTGCCCTATGTGACTGAACTGTGTAGGTCATGATTGGTTTTTTTCTTTTCTCCCTCACACAACTCATTTCAAATTTAGCAGTCTGAAAACCTGCTAGAAGCTTAATGCAAAATTTCAAACTGCTGCCTATCTGTACTATCAAAAGGAATGTATTCAGCCCTAATCTTTGCAGGTATTGAGCAATCCTAGTTGATGCTGGAATCAAAATGTCCCTTTCTAAAAGCACAGTTTTCCCACCTCCAAACTTCACTCCAATTACAAAATCTAGATGTTGCTGCCCACCCCGGGACAGAGGTGCGTTTGTTCTTGTCATCCTTGCTCTGAACTTCTGGCAAGGAATCACTGTACAAGTGTCACTAGAATATTGTATGGTATGGCATAATAAGAAATGTTTGTATATTTATACATAATGTTTGTATGCATATATTATTTGGTATCTTAGAACTTGGGATTAGATCTTAACAGTTACACTGTGACCTTTCCTTTTTTCCCCTAGTTCTTCAGTTTGGGTTCACAACCATTTTTGTGGCAGCTTTTCCACTGGCACCACTTCTGGCCTTACTTAACAATATTATTGAAATTCGGCTTGATGCATACAAATTTGTTACCCAGTGGAGAAGACCTTTAGCTTCAAGAGCCAAAGATATAGGTGAGCTTTTTGTATGTGTGTTTGTTGTATGTGTGTGTGTTATTTTTAAGGCAAAGCACCAAACACTTCAAGTAAGAGCAGATTAGAGTATTTTCAGTCATCTTCCCCATTAACAACACACAACTTGATTTTTCCAAAAAACTTCAAGTATCTGATGCTGATCTATTTATGCAATTAATAGTCTGTATTGGAAAATGTCTTTTAATGATTTTCTGGGTGACTTAACAGCCAACATGTTTTAATGAAGTGATCAGTGTTCTCTGCAGGTTTTTCCTTGTGGCAGACAAACTGTGTGAACACATGCAGCTGCTCAGTTTGAATATAATAACCAGACAGAGCAGCTGAAACATCAAAGTCAAGTTAAAGCAGCCACCATCCTGTAAGCGAGCTTCTGTGTTTTCTATTTACCTGGCCAAAACCAAGCTCCCCTGTGATTCAGTGCCTATGCCCACTGTGTCCCTGGTGGGTCAGATGGGGTGGGTCTAGATCCCGAGAGATGACTTGCTCTCGGTGAGGCACACCTACGTTGCTAAACAGAGGGCTCACATAACTTTGAGGTCACCCAGCCACACACTACTGCAAGGGCTCTCTGAACATATTTTGACTATAAATCTCTTCTGTCCTTGCAGTGTGCAAAAGCAGAACACCTTTAGGAAGGACTCTGTAAAACAAAGTCATCTACCCAACGCTGAATCCCTGGTGTCTTTGGAGGGGTAAATAGGATATATCGCTGCCCATCTGCATTGCAAAAAACAGTAGCCCACACCATGAAATAGCAGAAGCCCAGGCTTTGTGTTCTCAGAATGGTCCACCATATACCTAAAGTCTTGTGCCTGAGTAAAGCTTTGTATGTGAACAGTGTGGATCTATGAGTTTAGGTACAAGCCTGGACATCAGCCAGTACACAACATACACTGCAGACATATTTCCTGAAAAACCAGTTACATAACATAAATAATAAAAGCAGAGAAAAATATTTTTTTTTTTTCAGGCTGATTCAGATGTGATTTCTCAAAATAAGTTGCATTCAATCCCTATTCAGCAAAGTGTTCAGGGACAGCTTGATGCCTCATTAAAATCAAGGGGTATGTCTAACCTTCCTTTGGGGTAGTTCTCAGTGATGGTCCTCATGACCCGAGTTGCTGTGTGCCTGTACCACAAGGTCTGTCAGATGGTTGAGGATGGGCCAAAAAGCTCAGGTGATGCCTAGGGACTGTGTGCCACTGTACAGCATTAGCACGTCATGAAGATTTTGATGCCGATAGGTACATGCTGACCAGCTGTGCACAAGTTACACACGAGGCCCCTGTGAAAGACAAATCATGGATCGCATATATTCATGGCTGTCCTGGCAGACCTTCCTCAAAGGCTGGATGGCCATCATCACAAGCAGGGAGGCTTACAGCCTTGCTTAAAACTGCCAACATGGTTAGGTGGCTTGGAGAAGCCAAGGCCTCCATGAGCATTTTTGCAGCTTCCTTGAGATTATTTGCAGATAAACCAAATTACCACCCAGTGGGAACAGAAATCTGATCCACTGAGGTCCTGCTGTTCAATAAGAGAAATTATTTTTGCTCAGTAACTCCTGGATAGAAACTACGTAAAAAAAACCTTAGGTGGTGGGGACAACTGCTTCAGAACATGCAGTATCTCAGGCACTTCGGTTCTTGTTTTTCCTGGGAACTTTGGTTCTTGTTTTTCCTGGAGCTAACATACTCTCATTGTTGAACAGGAATCTGGTACGGGATCCTGGAAGGCATTGGAATTCTTTCTGTTATCACAAATGCATTTGTTATAGCTGTGACATCAGATTTCATCCCTCGCCTTGTTTATGCTTACAAATACGGACCTTGTGCTGGCCAAGGAGAAGCTGGACAAAAGTAAGCTTTTATTTGGGAAAACAGATGCACATGAAAATAACTTACTACTTGAATAGATACAGTAGTACTGTCTGTGTATGTTCTGATTCCACTGACCCAAATTCATTGCTTGTGCTTAGGTAACAGATATCAGCCATAGATATTGATGCTTTGCATATTCACAGAATGGGCTGCTGAGTGACTATCATTTATGACGTTAATTCCTGGAAAACATGGCAGAGCTGTTACAGAGATTTGGTGTCTAGGAGAGTATGCTTCACAAGCTGCACTTCCCAGCTGGTGTACATGGATGTAACCCTCTTTTCATTCTGAAGCGACGCTGGTATTTATCAGTTATGAATTTAATGAGCATTTTAAACTTATTCACTAGGCTTTTATTCCTGATGTAGCATTCAGCGTGTATTGCTCAAAAAAGTAGTGTCTAACAAGAGGAAGCAATTCCCAACTAATAAATCAAGATACACTTACAGAGCAAAGTAAATTGTTTTTCTTCTAAAACTAGAGTCCTTAGATTAAATCTTTCAGGAGATATTTGTGAACTGAATCCCCTGCTGCCTAAGTGGATTTTCTTTCAGTGTTGCTAAACACTGAGATTATAGTAGCCTGTGCACACTACCAGCAAGTATGAGTATAGCTGCTACGTGGCAACTTGTAAAATCTAGGCTGTTGGACCCAGGGAAGGTCATTAAATCCAGCTGAACACAAATAGACACAGTTTGCAAATGATCTCCCGGCAGCTCCATTAGCAAGGACCCTACTGTTCAAAGAAACCCAAGCTAAACAGTAGACAGTGACAGAGAGCTTACGTTCTGCTATTAGACATATGGCAGATTGATTTTTTCTTCCCTGCTACAGAAAGCGAGTTCTTCTGTTGCTGCTTTTTTGCCATCTTTTGGTTGTCAATACTGTTTAATCATACTGACAGAAGAAGAGACGCTGGTATGGCAGCTCCCGATTAGCAGTGCTGCTAACTTGCTGTCGTGCAAGAAGTTTGGCATTTTAGTCGGTGCCAGGGGAAATGTTCCATTTATTTTCACAAAGAGGTGAAGTCCCTTCGCAGGTAGAGTGTTTGGTCCGGCGCAAGTCGCTCTTGAGCCCGTGCCTCTGCTTGTGCCATTGTGAAGATCTATAGGACATTGAGGCACTCTCAGCAACTTTCCTTGCTACTGATTTTCTCAGGACCACTGTGCATGAAAAAACACCACCTTTAGAAATCTTATTTTTCTGAAGACTCGAGTATGACTCACTGGCTTTGAAACTCATTCTGTATAGGGGAAGTAGCTTGACTCACAGAGGAAGGTCATCATCTTTACACAAATCTCTTGTACAGCGTTTTCACACTTCTGCTGCTTTTCTAAGTGAACCTCTCGATGAAACCATCAGATAGTAATCCTTTGAAGGAGCAACTCGGATAAAAACTGTCTATGTCAGCACTCTGGATATTGTTATTAATAAGTACTATTACAAAAGCAGGAAGCTATTAAAAAATCCACAGGAATATTTAATTTTCTCAAATTAAGGAGTCAAGAACATCTGCTATTGAGCAACTTAAATGAGAGCAGTGCTTCTTTCTTTCAAAAAACATCTGCAGCTATTAGATCCATATGACACCCAGTGATACTAGAAAAGTATTGTAATTAAATTAAGTTCCAAATCCAATCAGTATGGAGATTTTGAGACAAAGCCAGATGGTGTTTAAATGTAATTTCTCAAAGACTGTAAAATCCATAATTAAAAAAAAAAAAAACCAAACCAAAACAAACCAAAAACATAAACCTAACCCTTACTGTGCATTATACTCTGCACCAAGGTGAGCAGTGTGCCAAGACTGTGCTTGGGCAATGCAGAATGAACAGAAAAATACACTTATCATATCTCTCCTCAGCTTTATTAACACCAAACATGAGCTTCTGGTGACTCCCACAGCCCTTTGTCAGGTGACCTATGTTCTCTTACTCAAAGTTCTCCAAACTCTACTTGACCCTCCCAGTGCTCAGCCACCCTGGGATCTTTTAGTACTGAGTTCCTCTGATTAACTGGACATTTTGTAAAAAGCTGTTTTAAGTCTATTTCCTTTCCATCTGATTTAATGTCCCTTTGTGCTAGTACCATGAGGGTAACAGCGGGAATATTGTGATTATCTTCCTACTGCTACTCATTATTTTCTTTGCCTCTAATGTGTCACCTTTTAGGTGACTTTTCTATTCAAAAGTAACCAGTCCCAGTCTTCACCATTTCTTCTCCCATAGAAGTCTACCATTGCTTCTCTTTTATTGTCCATCTGACCTACTTGAGCATTTCTTTTATATTGCCTCAATGTCTCTTTCAAATATTAATAAGCATCACAGTTATACCATGGATTTCATGAAACCCAGAGAACATCCTTTTGGGTACAACAGTTAATGGAAAAACCTTGCTGTGTCCTGACTACAGGATTTTTTCCCCTCTAGGTGTATGGTTGGCTATGTTAATGCCAGTTTATCAGTATTTCTGGTGTCTGACTTTGAAAACCGTTCAGAGCCAACATCAAATGGAAGTGAATTCTCTGGTTCACCATTAAAATATTGCAGGTAAGTATCTGGTCAAGTACCTCTCTGCTTTAAGACATTGCAAGGGAGAAGCATCATGATAAATTTGGGGTTGGAACTAATTTTCAGAACTTAAAAAAACAGTAATGGAAAGAATTAACTGTGCTATTCAGGGACATGCTCATGGTACTGCTTGGCTGTTACCTGCATGATTCCTTCCTTCGATTCAGGAGAAGGCAAGAAGTGGATATCTGGCAGGCGTTCCTACTGCAGGGTTTCTATGGTGCCATGGCTTGAATCAGGCACAACCATCATGGAGAAATATGGTATCAAAGGGCCAATAATAGGTGACTGATTACTTTGGTACCTAGTGAGATGAAACTGTAATCAGTTTATATCATAGGACGTGCACAGGGAAGTCAAGGTTGCACAGGAGTGACCACACTGAATTATTTCACAGGTCTGCCAGGCATAAACGGGGTCTGTCCTAAGCTATCTTTACGAAACCTCAAATCCAGCACTTCCTCATTGCTGAATGGTTAATAAGTTTATATGGTTGCTTACAGGTGTAATTATTAGTAATGATCACATCCGTGTGGTTTGAATCAAAATAAAGTGAGCAGTTAATTATCTGTATGTCTTTGTCCTCAGCCAACAGACCGGAGAAATAGCACTCTGAGACTAGTCTGTAATGATAGATTTGCACCTGATTGATTTTGATGGTCCAAAGAATCAGGAATCTACATAAAAGTCTTAAATGGGGTCCCAAACAAAAATATCAAAAACCAAATACAGTTACGATTTTTTATTGCAACATTGGTTTACAAGCATGAGTTCTGGTAGCTGCAGATACACTTAATCCCAGCATTTTTCACTGCAAAGAATTAAAATACCCTTTCATGAGTCCCTAAAGAACAAGAGATACTCTGTAATACTGCAAAATTCAGTGATACTTTGTGATATTGTGGCACTTTTATTAGAAAGAAGAAGTTTGAGTGGTATAGCACAATGAACTGGGGGGTTGGCATTAATGCTTTCATTTAACTACCTGATATTTAAGACTGTTGCAACTTATTTGGCAGAAAGAACATCCCAATGTTGAATCCATAGATAACATTTTCTGTGGACCAGAACCACTTTGAGAATACTCCATTCCACATTGTTTGTCATAGCACCATTTAATAATGTTTTGTAATTCTGGTCATTCTCTTTAATTCCTTTCTTCCCCAACTTCAAGCATGAGGATGCTGCTACTTAAAGCCGATGGTGGAAATCCCATCAATAAAAAAAGTTGTCCCCTCAACACCCCATAAACAGAACGCTATTAAAATTGGTGCCATAAATCTCCAGAAGATAAATCTGTTCTTTCAGGGGACACTGAATTGTTATGCATATCTACCCTTGAAAGAAAATGAACATCTAACTTTCTTTAGCTGAGTTTATCAGCTGCTTAACCCACCTGAATTCTGCTAAAACATCAGTCATTTTAATTGCACTTCAAGCCAGATATCGATAGTGAGGTAAGGAAATATTATGTTCTACTGTGCAATAGTGTAGGCATTTTTCCAAGAAGGCAGTCTGAACAAAAAACAGTGGCCATATTCAGTTAACTTCTGTTCGTCTGGAACCCAGATGGTCCCATGCTATTCTGGTTGTTTACAAAAGGTTTCCCCATTTCTATGTGTAGTGCATATTCTGCTGACTTGGGACTTGGTCCGGGGACTTCTGTTTTCAGGATGCTTGAGATATTGTAAAACATCCTAAACTATGAAGTCAGCGTGCTGCTTGCAGAAGGGAAGATCACCACAGCTTTAAGAACTTGCACTAGAGATACAGCGATTTAAGAGAGGTTTGTTGCTGCCTAAGGTGTCAAGACACAGTTTATTTCATTTTGTGTAGTATCCTCTGCAATGGAAGAAGGTGAACCTTCAGGGAGAAACACAGGTTATCATAGAGATTAAGTAACTGTTTATTTCTTTTGCTCATCTGAGTTTTCTCTAGTTGCTTAAAACTAAATTAGAGATCAAGCTTAAGTGTGTTACATACTATGGTATTTTCAGTATTTTTTATAATGGGTTTTCTGTCCCATCTAGGAAACAGATTAAGGAGAAACCACTTTTACACTACTTTTGAATTAAGTTTCTGCAATAGTATTTTGGGATTGACATGCTGCTAGCAGAAATGGACTCCAGAATGTGTGAATTCAACAGATTCGTGATTTGTTAATGTAGTTTTGGAGTCTTCCTGGATCCAGCTTTCCCAATAGATATCTCTAGTTACTTTATTGAGACCTAAAGTCTTTAAATAAACATTCTGTGAGATGAGATCCCTTTCCTACACAGCCCTTGTCCTGTTGGTATAGCGAGAGGTGCAGTTCTGGCTCCACTAAAGTGAAGATGAGTCATGCTTTACACCAGGGATGGCCAACTAATTGACCAAGGGCCAGATGGAGCCCATGAGGTAGTTTTATATGGATTTTGGGAGGGCTGTCAGGCTCACAAAATTGGGGACATTTATGGGTTTAAAATTAACTTGTAGTGGGAAGAAAGTGGCCCTAAGAACAGCAGAGCATCCCACCCTGCTCCATGTTCGGAAGAGGTTAGCAAGGCACATATTGCGCTGCCAAGGGAGCTGCTGTAGGGTCAAACCGCTGGTGCCGAGCACCCAACATCCTCTGTATTTGCTTCAGCAGTTTCACTTCATACAGGCACTGGCCTGGTGCTTTGCAATGGATTTCCGTTAGCAGCTGGAGCGTGAAGTGCACTCCTGGAGTGCATCTTACCATTAGGTTTCATCTGAAAGCAAACCCATTTGTGGGAACCAAAGCATGGTTCCTGACTGTGCCTTTCAGAAATTTTCTTTAAGACAGGAGAAGTCATTGTCAGGAGAAGAGACTAAGCAGAGAAGTTTGAAATGCACCTAAACCAGGAGATTCCTATCCTCCTGTTGCTGCCTGAACTTGACATTTACTGAGCATGCTCCGAAGAATATTACTCTAATTAGTCTGAGCATGCTTATAAATTATTCAGAGCAGGGAAATCTGGCCTCAGTTTGGGCAGCATCTTTCCTCACTGGTGTTAGATTGCAAAAGTCTCAATGTTTTGATTGCTGTGTTTGATGTATTGCATGTCTCTGCCTCACGATACCAAACAAGAGTGTAAGGTAAAACATTTGCTCTGTGGCTTTAGTTAATTTATTTAAGTGGTCTTCATCATGACAAGACTTTAATGTCTTTTTGTGGCCAAACCCCAGAGCTTTTGTGCTTTTTTTGTCGTGGTTTTTTTTTTTTTTTTTTTAATAATCCTGTTGAGGTGATGAAGTAGAGGTGATGAGGACACTTGCTTCAGAAGCATGCCCCTGATCTGAAATAATACACTAGCGTGGCCCAAGCCTAAGAAGCAAGCAGGGTTGTGGTAACTTGTACAGTCTGAACTGAGATCATTTTGGTGCAGAAAATGCAATGATCAAGAGCAGCCGGGTTTTGGTTTTGCCTTCCCCCCAGGCAGCAGGGCAGGAGCTTGCTAACTACCACACTCTGCTTGTCTTTCAGGTACAGGGACTATCGAGATCCTCCTCACTCCCCGGTGCCCTATGGTTACACGCTGCAGTTCTGGCACGTCTTAGCAGCACGGTTGGCTTTTATTATTGTATTTGAGGTCAGTGACCATTCAGGTGGCAAGCGTGTTTGTTTCTCCGCTCCAACAAAAAAACCAAAATGAAACAAATTTCCCTTTGAAGCTTTTTCATTGGGCTGATCTATGATGGCAGCTGTTGAGATTTTTGTGTTAGTTTCTGCTGTTTATATTGTACTTTGCATTCTCAGTTCTGTTTTCTGAACAGTCACCGGTATTTAGGTTTTAACAAAAAGTGGAATGTCACATGTTGAAAGCTGTAACAGTGACTTGCAAAGAGGGGAAGTAAATGAAGCTTTTATTTACTTTCTGAGTTTTGGCATTCGTATCCTGGCTAAGCTGGGAAGCCACACGTTAACTAGTGTGTGAGGAAGGGGTGAAGGAACAGGAGAAGAGAAGATGAAATCTGAACAACTGAAAAATGAAGACAGTTTAAGTTACAGTACTTACATGTCTAGCTTTTTTCTCTATTTTTTTTTGGTACCATTCATTTCCCCACAATGATTAGCATCACAAAGATGATGATGATGAAAAGGATTTAATACCTTTGCCGATGTTCATAATATTAGTACTTATTGTCAGTATCTCAGAAATCTTCAAGACAAACCAGAGAAGATAATACCAGCTTCACATGACTGGTATTCCCATGTTGATTTTGAAAAAGAGAGATGGGAGGGTAGATAAATAGAATGAGATCATTTACAAAACAAAATGCAGCTCTTAATGCTTGAATTTCAGGTGCTTGAATATCCCTGCCAGAAACCAGGGGCTCAGCATCTCTCCAGCACAAGCAGTCTGAAATGCCTTTTACACTATGAAGAAGCTGAACAGGGAACAAGCGATTTTTAAAAACTCTTTACTCAATCCTCTGCTCTGAAATCATAGCAACAAAACATCCAACACAGATATTGAAGCTCTAATCACTATAAGTTATTGGCATAATGTTCATGAGTACATACTGCATTTCTGACTCATGGTACTGTGTAAATTCAATCTGAACTGGGCTTTCCAAGCGCCTCTTTGAATCACAGAAGTATTTGAATTAGAGGAAAGGTGAAGGGGAAACATTTTCTAGATTATTTCTTGCATAGGGATGTCTTGGTGGCTCAGCAGAAGCCCAAGGTCTGCAGTGAATTCCCCCTGACTGTCATTTTCAGCTCTTCACAACAAAGGGGGAATATGGCACTGCAGGTTGGGCTCTCCTTCCTCCACACTGGGGTAACTCATTAGGGGTTGGTCCTAAGGAAATTGGCTCTTCCATCATCTCTGCCACACTCAAGGAAAAATTAGGGGAAACAAAGAAAAAAAATGGTAGAGGCCTGCTGGGCTTGATCTCTTCTTTGTTTCTTGAGCTGTCGGTACTGAGAGCAAGTGTGTCTGTCTCCAGAAACGACTACAAGAATGGCCTTGGCAGGTCCACCTAAGCAGTTTTAAGATTGAAGAGAGCCTGGCTTCTTGATACACACTTGGCATAAAGGCAGCATGGCATAAGGGCAAAGATAACTGAGGCAAGAAAAATCAGCCCTGCTGAAGTCTCAGTGCCCTGCCAAATTTGTGACCAGCTGTGGAATAGCTTCTTGTGCCTGCCCAACACTTGCACAAGAGAATTGACTTCGCTTTGCCCCAGCCAAAGCCATAGGCTGGCTCATAGCTGCCTCCCTCAACAGGGGCCACTGTTTATTGGCACTGCAAACTGTTTCCTTAACTATATTTATGAAATGGAAGAGGAATTGCAGCAGAAACCATGACTGTCTTTCTCTGTGGAGAACACTAATGGGTGTATTGTGATTACTACAGCAATTGCAGTAAAAGATTGCACTAAGAGCTAAGTGATTCAAGGTAGGTTTTTTCATAAATTAAGTAACTACCCAAACTCAGACACCTTTTTGTCACTGAGGAAGTGGGTGCGGTTATTTTGGCTATCTTGACCTCTCTCAAAAACAAACACAAGTATTTCATATCACTGCAAAAGGAATTATTTGTCCAGGCTAAACGAAGCATTCAATTACAATGCTGACAGAAGAAGCTGGTTTTCTTTTTTTTTTTCTGGTTTGGCAAAAAACCCCAGCAATTAAAATATTGCAGGTTTATTTCACATGAGGGAAGAATAAATGGGAAAACGTGACATTTTCTTCTCAGTAGCTTTCAAAGGAAGTGTTCTGCTTGGAGAAGAAGAAATACCTTTATTTCTCCAAACTGGAATGAATGTCCTTTTTAAGATGGAGGATTTTTCTGTTTCTGTGCTCCTCCTCTGAAGTGGAGCAAGTAAATCTCTAAGCAGCATCTTTGATGAAACAAAAAAGGACACTCAAGCAATCCTCCCCCATCAGCCTCAAGCTTTGCTGTGGCATGCCTAAAACATGAGGGACACAGGATCAGTTACCTTGTATTTAATTGTGATGTTTAGTAAACAGCAATATGACTTTGGATGAGAGACACAGTATAAGAAAAAATGTTTTGTTTTGTGTAGGTAAGTCATTGTTTCCAATACTGATGCAAGGGTTTTCTCCTGACAGGGAAGCATTGTATCATTTGATCCTCCTCTTCCTGCAGCGCAATCCACTAAAATACCAGGCCCTGCCCAAACAACCTTACAGCAAAGCATGGCCTCAGGGGGTTGAATGCACAGGTCAGACAACAGTTTTGAGGCTTTATTTGAACCCAGCCACTCTTAACCTTTGCTGAGATCCGTACTCCACTCACTTTGGTGGGAGTTTTTGTGGGGAAAAATCTTTCTGGTTTGGTTTCTTCAAATTTAGTAGTAGATTTAGGGCTAACGCAGCATCTTTTTGTGAATTGGAAGGAGAGGGTTTTCAGAAGATATAGAAAGGACTTGTTTTCTTCTGAAGATTTTCATTTTTCATTCCTTTTTGTTTTCACAGCACCTTGTCTTTTGCATAAAGCACCTGATTTCCTACTTAATCCCAGATCTCCCAAAAGATCTGAGAGATCGGATGAGGAGAGAAAAGTACCTGATTCAGGAAATGATGTATGAAGCTGAATTAGAACGTCTTCAGAAAGAGCGGAAGGAAAGGAAGAAGAACGGAAAATCTTATCACAATGAGTGGCCATGATGGGGTGAGGAAGAAACTGCTTAAAAGAAGATAGGAATTCTGTTTATAAAAATTTGCTGGTTTCCTACAGTGAAGAGTGCACGGAAAGGAATAGTCAGTCAATGTTGTGTGCACTGAGCACATGTGTGCCCATGTTTAAAAGGGTGCATATCGCCACAAGCCTTTTGAAATTAGAGGTCTTGCAAGGCTTAGCCTTCTCCAGAGCTAATGTCAGCATGAGCAGATCAGACCAACGCTTAAGTCTCTGCACTCTTTC